ATTACTACAATTAACATGAAATCTTCCAAAACACTTTCAGCCATTTGGCAACATAGGGAGCTATATATCAATTCTAAGGATTATTAATTATAGTATTATTGTAGACAATAATTTTTTTTTAAATTTCTTAATTATATTTCTTAATTCAGCAGCCTTTGAAATACAGCATTGTGCAAAAGGTAACTTTAGAAAATCACAGCCTTTGTTCATCTGCCAGAGCTCTGCACTCCACCCCCAGAAGCACAAATTAAAACGTCACGGCTGGCTGTACTTCTTGAAGGCCACCACAGTTGACTAAGTACAACTGCACTAACATGGGATTTCATGCTCCACCTGAGAAACTTACAAGAGAAATTCTTAAAAGTTCTCCCCATTTCCCTGAAAAATGGGTGCATGAAATAAGGGGTCACAATTTTAAGTTCAGTAGTTGTATTTTTCAATCACCATCTGCTTTTCTCTTTCCCAATTTTGATCTCTGGAAAACCCACATCCATATCATGTGTCACTTAGCTCTTATTCAAACAAGTACTGCAGACAGACCGACTGCACCAGCTGACCTGAGCCCAGTAAAAACAAACCCTAATAAATCACCAGATGTAAGTAATTGAGCTGTGATCAGATTAATTAATTGAACAGTTTCCTGGGAATTTATTGTGTTATTTAACCCTCATGACTCACGGCTCATTTTGAAGTAATTATCTTGGATGTTAATTGCAGGCTAGAACTGTGGTACGTTCGGTTTCAACATGAATGAAAGTCTTATTAGCTGAAGTTGGGAATCTCTCTAAAATGAACATATGGTGGTGGTATAGTGTTTGCATGAAGAAAGTCTGATTAGCCAGAGGTTCATGTTTATCTGGTAACATTCAGCACTAATTCCCAACTTTCATTTCATCTCATGAGTCAAAGTCCTTCAAAGTGTAGAACGATTCTGTTTTTCATTAAAGGCGCCACAGAATAAAGCATTTCATATTATGGCTTATAAATGTGTGTTCTTTCTCCAATAGGAAATACCACACATGCAGTGTAGATGTTGCCAACGTTGCAAATAAAGATCTCATACTACAAAGCACAAATCTTGAAAGATTAAAGTCCTCAAAAGATGACACCCTTAATGCGACATGTTTTCACTCACAAAAAGACAGTACATCCCCCTCCTCCCTCGATCTCATTCCCCCCCCACCGGACTGAACAGATTGTGCATTGGAATGCTGCTGGTGTTCGCAGAACTGCACTCCCAGCTTCATCGCACAAGACTTGCACAAAAAAATCTAAACACCGTCACTCCACAGCAAATCAAGCTACTTCTAAATACATTGTGTCTGTGGAAGCAGGTCTGTGTGGCTCCAAAGCAAAATCTGGTAGCTGAAAAAATAATCATTTTCAAAATGAACTCTGCAGTAATGAGGAAATTACTGATCTGTACATTTCATGTGAAAAATATAAATTGAAAAAAATAAGATAGTATCCAGTGTTTGTATTTAGTTTGTACTGTTCAATCCTTGGAATCACTGACAAATAATGCATTAGATTTTAGATCAAAACACATGTAGTATACTGTTCAAATCTTTTTTGAGTTGACCCCAATAGCCTACAGCATCAGTCTACTAACACACACTGCCACGTGTTGGGACATGGGTTTCAATCCCACAATTTATCACACAAGTCTTCAATCTCAGTAAAGCTTGTCTGGGGAGCTAGTTTGCTTGAGGGAAGACATCTGAGCAACAGCTAATCTGTATTACTCTTTTGTATAGCTTTTCCCAAATTTTAACAGCACAGTTGGAAAAGTAAGCCTATGGGTCCCTTCTATCCTCATGGCACAGCGATGAAGGGACCATATAAATAAGAGTTAAAAGCTTATGATGCATTTAAACTGTGTCTCTGGCTAACAAAGAGCAGTGCAAGAGAAGTGACCCAACAATTCGAGTGTCATTCTTCTTACCACCTCACTGTGACAACGGTGTTTAAGATTGATGTGCATACATGCTCCAGGCTCAGCCAAATATGCATGCACAACAGTATTGCCTTCACACAAATAATTGGTGCTTACTACCAGCAATGAGCGATTAGGAAGCAGTACTACAGGAGGCAAAAATAATTTACACTTTATATAGTGCTTTTCGTGTCAAAGACCATCTCAAAATGCTTTAGAGACTGGTTTGGAACACTGAGTTGGGAGAGGATGGGGGGAGGGGGAGAAAGCTCAAAAGACATAGATCTTTAGATCCGTATTCAAAGCGGACAGGGGTCTAATTGAGGAACTTCAGAAGAGAGCTCTGGAGGGCTGAAGTGGCTGAAGGTTCAACTGTAAACGGTGGGATGGAATGGGTAGGTGCTCTGCAGCAGTAAAGAGTTGACAAAGCAGGGAAAGTGGCAAGCAGTCACAGAGATATGGCTGTGAAGGCAGTTGAAGATAATGAAAGATGCTTAGGGATAAGGAACAGTGAATGAGAGTGATCCTTCCACATATATGCGGATAACACACAACTCTACCTGTCTGCCTCCACCCTAGACTCCAGGACCACTGCTGTCCTGACTGAATGTCTGTCGGACATCAAGTCCTGGATGAGAGCTAACTTTCTTCAGTTGAATGTCAACAAGACCAAGGCTCTCCTGATTGGCTCCCGTCAGTGCCTAACCACCTCAGGTGCTGACAGCATCACCATCCATGGTTGCGCTCCATCTTGCTAAGCCAGTCCGGAACCTTGGGATCTTGTTGATCCTCAACTATCCTTTCTACCCCACATCTGCACCATGACCCATTCTGCTTTTCCCCACCTCCGCAATGTCGCCCGGCTCTGCCACTGTCTCACACCGCAGGCCACTAAAACCCTCATACATGCCTTCATTACATCGAGGCTCGACTATGCAAACTCATTGTTTGTTGACCTCCAAACTCCTCCCTCCATAGGCTGTAGATCATCCAGAACTCTGCAGCCTTTGTCCTCCCCCGCACTAGGCTCCGGGACCCGAACACCCCCATCCTTGCCCAACTCCACTGACTTCCCATCACACAGAGGATATAGTTCGAGATCCTGGTCCTCACCTTCAAAGCCCTCCAAAGTCTTGCTAAACCCCTTACCTCTGTGACCTCCTAGTCCCTACGTTCCTGCTCGCTCCCTCCACTCAGTAGGCTCCAGCCTGCTTCACGCGCCTCGCTCGCCCCACTACTGGCGGGCGGGCCTTCTGCAACTCTGCCCCCACCCTCTGGAACTCCATCCTGCAATCGCTCCGCCTTGCCCCCTCCTTTACCACCTTCAAGACCCATCTCAAGATCCTCCTCTTCGATCGTAATTTCGATCTCCCTGCTTCCCCCCCCCCCACCCTCCCCGACCCCCAGCTTGGGTCCGTAACTGTCTGTCCAGTGCCTTGGGACGTCCTTCCAACGTGAAAGGCGCTTTACAAATGTAATTTTGTTGTTGTTGATGAGCCTTGTGCATGAGAAGATATAGGCTGCCGAGTACTGGATGGTCTAGATCTTGCAGAAAGTTGAGCTGGGGAGTCTGGCTAACAGGGTAATGGAAACAAATTAAAGGCCTCGATGAGCGTTTGACTATGTTGGGGGTGAGGTACTGGCAGAGGCATAATTATGAAACTGTTTCAGGAAAGACCTTTGGCACCACATACCACCTCTAACACTTTGCGAATGTATGGTGGAAGGCAGGTCTAGCAGTTGTATCAGAAAGGTAAGTAACAGGGTACAAAAGGCTCCTGTGAGAGAGCACAAAAGGTTTGAAGAAAGTAATTACTTTCATTATGATCATTTCTGGTGTTTACATTTTGTATTGAAATGCAAACGTTATGTTCCTGGTCAGGGAAGTGTTTGAACACATGAGGGAGAAGGGAATAGTATTGTATGGGAGAGAGATTTAGGAGGGGTGGAGACATGGACTAGTTAGGCTAAATGGCGCGTTTCCGTTCTTTAACAGTCAATGTAATTCTATGTAATGCTGGTAAAAAAAGCTGTTTCAAAAATTTATGGAGGGGTTAGGGAAAAGAGAAATTATATTTTTCTAATAAATTTCACATGGCATATGATTCTAAGTACACAATTCAGCAGCAGCAGCTAGTTTTTATAGGATAAACATTACATTTCTGATGCAATTAAAGGTTTATTAAACATATTGTTGCATTACCATCTTTATCTTTTAATCTTTAAATTATTTTATAGGAGATCAGCAGGACAGTAACTGTATGCATACATTTATGGATAGGCAGATAATTCTGCTGCAGTAGCGCTCAGGATATTTCCATACTAATTCTATTTCTAGTGTACATGAAACACTTCCACAAACACACACCTCTTTATTCAGAATATATTTAGCCAAGTCACAAGTCGTAAAATACTGTGATTTAATGCATCACTAATACCCCGTGTTAGTGTGAAAATACCAGTTATCAAAACAACCAAATCCAAAATCACCTAGAAAGTCCATTAACTTTGCTTTACCAAACATGTATATATTGTTATACACTGACCTGTTCAGATTCCACCAAATTCAGTAAACTGTGCAGGAACATGGATGATTCATGACACAGCAGACACTTAATTAACATGGTGGTGCTTAATTTCAGAGGAATCTGAAGGTGCAATGCATCTGGCACAGCACATTACCCCTCGGCATAAAAGTCAGGCTATTCCATTAAAAAAACATGAATTCATGTGCGTTTCAGCTGCAGTCTTTCAAAAGAAACCCCCAAAGACATTCCAACTTGCATAATCTTAGCTGCTGCTAAAAGTATTGCAACTTGCTCGTGAGTGTTTAATTGGAAAATTCAATGATAACATTTTTTAAAAAACTATAAGATTAATTAATTAAAGATTAATAGTTGAACATTTCTTCGAAATAATTGAACGATTGATTCGTTTTTACATTTAAAGTGAATTCCTTAGGTTATAATTATAGAATGTGACTAACACTGAATGTGCAAGATGGAATCAGCCACTGATCACTGAACAGAAATAAACAAGGTGTGCTTAATATTTTAATACTTACAGTGAAAGGAGGGTGAGGTTTGGGGCTACCGCGCCAAAGTCTGGAATTGCAGTTAATTGATTGTGGCTTATTTTTCTAGAAGTCAGGAAAGAGAAATATTCAGGAAATGGTGCATGAAAAATCAGAATCTGATATATGAGCTCAAATCATATGCTTCTTAGCAAACAAGAGTTACTTACATTTCCTGTAGGCTGTGAAGGTGGTTAAATAGGCTGCTATTGATAGAAGTCAATCGATTGTGGCTCAAATCCCTGTTAAGTAGGAAACACATTTAGTTCTTAATGGTCATTTCATTCCAATGTAAGCAACTTGTAACAGAACATTTAAATGGAACAATCAGGTATAACACAAATAATCGGTACAGACATACTGTAGTCGTTTGGAACAGTAGGTTACAAGTTTTAATCCTATGCTGACTGAACTGACCTAAGGGCCGTGATGTGGGCGCTACAATTTGGTTCAGTGTCCTGAGTACAGCCCCCTTGGACGTCATGCAGACGTGAAGGGTGCTGTACTATTGTAATTTGTTGTTGTTGAGTTAGGAAGGGGAAAGCTAGTCAGGGTTTCCACTCCTGATCATGACATGAGTGAGCTCAAGATCAGGCTTGACTGTTCCCTCTGCAGTTGAGTAGCCTACTGGCATTTCATGTACAATTCTCTCAATGACAACTGCACACCCCTAAACTTTAGTAAAAACAAAAATACAATGACTCTTAATATGGGCAAAAAAAATGGACAGGAGTAGGTGTCATGTCGAGCACCTGTACTCACTCCAGCAGAGTATGTAGAAGAGGTTTAGGGACTACTGTATGGAGAAACCAGGAGGGGCCAAAGTTAAACAGTGTTCCTCTTTCGATATCCAGTTGTCTCACATTGGAGTGGAGACGCAAGTGCAATGAGGTATCCAGGGTGGGTTTCCTTTTACGTTGAATGTCTATAGGAGAACAGCATCTTTGGTGCTTTAAATTCAAATAGCCGGTCATCAATTACTGTCCAGGCTCAACACATGAAGAATGTGTCACAAAATGTGGTGGTGCCTATGAAACTATGCCTCACAATAAGACACCATATTCATAACATGAGACAAAATTGAGAAAAATACAAAAAAGCATGTTCAACGGCTTGCAGTGCAACCTGCCACATCATGCTGAACGAACCCAAACATGTTCAAATTACATTATGCCGCCAATAGAGGCCAACTACTCAACACCAAAATACCTTTCAGCTTCAGAACAATGCTACTAGTCTTCTTTGGAACAGGATCTGGGCAACTAATCAAGTGTGCACAATACTACACTGTGCCTGCACTGGTGACATTGATCAGCACACCCCTAAACTTTAGCGAGAATAAAATAACTACTTTTAAAATAAATGGCTAACAACAAAAAAATCTTCCAAGTCAACAGTGCAGAAACAATTTATTTCGATCAATTACAACTGAATATAAATTCTCGTTCTATAGTATTTTATTTAACATTACTAAATCTTACAACACTGATTTAACACAGAAAGGTCAAAGTTTGATAGGTTTTAGTAAAATAAAAGGAACTGGCCATATTTAATTATGAAATCACTTAAAACAACATTCTAGTTGAAATTAAATCAGTAGCCTTTTCCTTATTGGGGGTGTACAATCTTTATATGCCCCAAATTGGTAAACTCCAGAGAACAGAAGTTTTACTTAGTATGGATTACAATTACGTAAAGCTGAATCCCTGCAAAGCTTTTATTTGAAGCACGTTTGCAGAGGGACCCACCAGACAGCTACAGACATGAGCAGATCTGTTCTGCTGGAGCCATAACATGTACAGAGCGGGCAAAGTCTTTGAACTACAAAATCCTCCAATTATTAACACTGCTGAACAAGATCACCACAGTGGAGCCAGACACTTTCACTTGAACTTCAAGCTCTATCTCATCAGTGATTATATGAATACAGCTTTCAAAACAGTTAAAATGAAATTGCTCCAATTGCTTTCTATGGAGGTTACAAAACTTCAACTATAGCAGACGTTCTATGCACTAATGTTTGGCAGTAGATTTCCATGAACCTCTGAACTCCACACACCCCAAACTCAATCTCCAGCAATTCCTGCACATACAACTAACAGCTGACATTTTAATTACTAGATCATATGTTTTATAATTAATTACAAAACAAGTATCTTAAAGCTAACACAGAGCTGTATGTGAAATGAAATGCTGCAAATGGGTTCTGAAGTTAACTTTTACTCCAAAATGGCAGTAAAGCAGGAAAAAAAAACTAAAAAATTCAAAACTGTACTCTTTCCATTAGTGGAAAAGACTCCCTTTTTATTACTTCTACTTTTATCCATTAGATTGCAGAAAGTGCTGACACTATATAGTCTAGAAGAAACATAGGTACAAGTCTCTACTGGAAGAACAGCTTGTTTTAGTAAAGGATTATTTTCAGCTGAGGAATTTTTTTCACACATGGCAACTTGCCCTTGGAAAGTGCTGTGTCCCACTTCACATATAAATTTCTTCATACACACAAAAATTTTTGAAGCCAAGACAAACACAATTTGGGGATTTTAGATTTTAGACAGTTGTTTTGACCAAAGTTACTTGTTCGATGACAAGTAATTAATTTCTCCACTATCTTTAGACACAAAATGGCTGCACTGTTTTTTAACACTACCTATTCAAATTAATACTTCTAAGCTTATACTTATTCTGCGGTTCAGATTGGAACCATCACCGGTTAAAAGACAGATAATGGTTTCTCCATTACTTCCCAAACTCAGTTGGTTGATTATCGGTTAATGTGATAGTTAACCACACAGATAAGGCATCAACCTCAATTACCTTAAAAGACTCACTTACCTCTGAGTCAGAGGGTTGTGGGTTTAAGCCCATGTCAGGGATTTTAATTCAAATAGTCTAGGCTGACAATCCAATGCAATGGGTGTGCTGCATCATTGGACGTGCCATTTTTCAAATGAAACGATAAACCGAGATCCTGTCTGCCTGTTCAGGTAGACGTTAAAGATGGCTTTGCCAAATGTAAGGATTATTAGGATTCCTGGTTCAATCCTTGGGTCTGAGTGGAATTAACTAATGTTAGCCGGGCAGTGTGCCTGAACAAATAGCCATCATTGTTGCCGTTAATCACTGCCTAGTGACACTGTTGGAAAATCTGCATGCGTCAGACAAGGACAGGATTGGATTTGGCTGTTAACTTGTCAAAAGATGAATTGCTTGTTGTCACCTGCTATCTATCCTTATTCATGCAGAATGGCCAATTGGGAGAAGCACCAGAGCACTGCCATCACCCGTGGAACTGTACAAAGATTCACCACCATCAGGAAAAAATAAAAAAAATTTTACCAATTAATAGCCTGCAACCAAAGGGCAGAACAGGTTTTACAAATCAGTTTAGAAAAAATTGCTTGCAGTCAGGAGATGCATGGCTACAGGAAAACAAAGTATAATCACTGGTAATGGGGAATTCCAGCAATTCTTTCATTCATATCAAAGGCTATTATAATGCATGGTCATTAAGGAGACCTAATCTATTTGTCTTCCAAAATGTCAAACTATTTCTCCAGTTTGCCTAATTTAGAAAATGTTTAATCAGTTGAGCACAGATGAGTTCAAGCTTTCAGAAAAGGCTTCACAAGGTGCCTATATAATTTTTATTTTTTTGTTCTTGAATTAGTGTTATTGTAATAGATCGTTTTCCACATGTCTCTTGGTGCTGGTGTCACCACACTGGCAGATTGATGAACATCACAAGCGGTATGTTACCAATTCTATCTGGACTCCCCCAATCTGACCTTTAGCTATCAAGGACCGAGTGGGGAGGAGGAGGAGTGGCAAGAATCGTAAATTTTAAAAAAAAATCAATCAATAACCTGTATTACGCCATCAAAATACCTCAAAGCACTTCAGGCTTTACTGTAATGCATAGATTTACACCAATCATAGTGCAGCATCAAGAGTTGGAGCATGCTCATGGTCTGCTCACTTGCTTGGGCCAAGAGTGCAGCACTGAAGGAAGCCGGGGGGGGGCAGGGGGGAGGAAAGCAGTAGACAAAAGAATTTGAAAAAACAAGGAACTTTTATATGGTTTCCAGCAGTGAAGGAAACATTGCTTTCTGTACCTTTTTTTTGTGCAAGACTTGCATAGGTTCACAGCTGCATGACATACTATTCAATCACGTGTGCATTCATTTATTTCAGCAAGTTACGGTAAGGCAAAGCAAAACCTATAGTCATACAGAGTAGCTCCTTTACATGGGTACAGACGAAGAAGAAGGAACCCTGCCCAAAATCTGGTTAAAAATTATCACGTATCACAGTAGCTCGCCTCGCAAAGGACCCAGGTTCGATTCCTGGATAGCAAAAAATGGCCTATAGAACCAAACTCCAGCATGAGGAGGCATAGAACCAGAAGCACAATATGCAAATTGAAATAAGAAAACAACTGAACAAATTGGATAGATCGAGTGTGAAAATGGAAAAATGGAACCGTAGACCAATGAAAAACTGAGGCCTTGTTCAGTGGGGAACAATGGGAGTGCTAATCGTACCTTAGGTTTACCTTGATTTCAAGAGTGTGGGGATGGGGGTGGGGGGCACGAGAGAGGGGAAGGAAAAAAGAAACCCGGGTTCTTGCTTCAGATTATAATAATACTTGCATTTGATATAGCGCCTTATCAAGTCTTCGAGATGTCGCAAAGTGTATAGTGAAGTGTATACTGTAAAGTGAATTGACTATATATTTTGTGGGCGAAACACAGCAATCAATTGCGCACAGCAGTGACCAAATTTTTATTTATTTTAAAGGAATTATTACCCCCAAAAAAGCAATTGGTCAATCGACTAGCAACCGGCTTCCTACTTACTGCTAGATAACTGTACTGCTCAGCGTTTCTCCCTGCCGGGAATCAAACCCAGGTCTCTCACTTGTGAGGCGAGTGTGCTAACCACTGAGCTAGGTAGCCTCTGCTATAAAGAGAATAGATGTTGGATGGGAACAGAATCGTGATCGGTTGTGATGCCCACACAGTTAGATAGCCAAGTGACATTCATTGCATTGGTTCAAGCATGGCCACTTGAGCAAGTTACCAGATGGTGATTGATACTTGTGGAATGTGTGAGTGAAGCATTCAGCAGAGACAAGTCAACGCAACAAAAGGGGAAAATAATTAAAATATAAAAAAAGAACAATTAAGGTTAGCAATGTGACTGCTTTATAAACCATTTCATCAAGTCAAACTTTTTG